ATATATTATTATTTATATTATTATTTATATTATTATTTATATTATTATTTATATTATTATTTATATAATTATAATTAATAAATCCCTTAATAAAACAATCATAACAACAATAACATCTTAGGGTGTATATACACTGCAGCAATCCTTCCTTATGTGCATGCAGTGTACATACACCCCGTCTTGGTCCTCTTAGCCATCTATATATTATATTATATCCTCTTGCTGCTGCTGCTGCTGCTTCTATTGTTGCTGCTGGTGCTGCTGCTGCTGCTCCTCCTCCTCCTCCTCCTGTTCCTGATTGTCCTTCTGATGCTGTTTCTACTGTTGCTGCTGCTGCTGCTGCTGCTGCTGCTGTTGCTGCTGCTGCTGTTGTTGTTGTTGCTGCTGCTGCTGTTGGTGTTTCTCCTGTTACTGCTGCTGTTGCTGTTGCTGCTGTTGGTGTTTCTGTTGCTGCTGTTGGTGTTTCTGTTGCTGCTGTTGCTTTCTCTGCTGCTGCTGCAGTTGCTGCTGCTGCTGCTGCTGCTGCAGCTGCAGCTTTCTTACTGACACCTGTATATTCTTGTTCTCCCTCTTTCTGTTGTTCTCCCTCTTCCCTTCCCCTCTCCCTCTGCTGCTGCTGCTGCTGCTGCTGCTGGTCCAGCTCCAGCTGTAACTGTAACTGTTGCTGCTGTTGCTGCTGCTGCTGCTGTTGCTGCTGCTGCTGCTGCTGATAGAATAATTGTTCATTAATAATAAATTTATGTTTATATTTTAATAAAAAAAAAGGGAATAAAGGAAAACCTTCATAAGGTATTATTTCTTCTTGTGCTAATCCTATCCATGATATATATATACGAATAAAATATATTTCCTCTCTTGCTGCTGCTGCTGCTGCTGTTGCTGCTGCTGCTGCTGTTGCTGCTGCTGCTGCTGCTGCTGCTGGTGATGATGATGGTGATGGTTGGATTGCTAATGATGATGATAATGATTCTGTTGATTGTGCTGATGATGATGGTGCTGCTGCTCCTGCTGCTGCTGCTGCTGCTGCTGTTGCTGCTGCTGCTGCTGCTGCACCTGTAGCAATAGAAGTTGCTGCAGCAGGTGCTGCAACAACTTCTGTTGCTGCTGTTGATTCAGCTGTTGTACATGATGGATCTTTCTTCTTGCTGCTGCTGCTGCTGCTGCTCTTTGCTGCCTTCTCGTTACCTTCCCCTGGATGAAATGCTGCTGCTGCTGCTGCAGTTGCTGCTGCTGCTGCTGCTGCTGCTGCTGGCTGCCTAGAGGGAGGTTGAGGTGCACCAGGAGGGCTACTAAAGTTTGTCTCTATTCCTGTGCTGCTGCTAATCGTGCTGTTGTTGCTGCTGCTCTTTCGCCTGCTGCGCCCGCTGCTGCTGCTGCTGCTGCTGCCTGATGCACTGGCAAGATCGCTTGCTGCTGCTCCTGCTGCTGCTCCTGCTGCTGGTGCTGCTGCTGCTGCTGTTGCTCGTTGCTGCTGCCTTGCAGCACCTCTTGTATTGTCTTGATAGTTCATCAGACCTCTTTTAGCAGCTGCAGCACGAGCTGTTGCTGTTGCTGCTGCTGCTGCTGCTGTTGCTGCTGCTGCTGTTGCTGCATGTGTTGCTGCTGCTGCAGCTAGGAAAGAAACACATGCAAAGGCAGTAAGTCTTTGCGGTTGCGCTGCTGCTGCTGCTGCCTTCTCCCCCTTTATAGGTTATAGTGCAGTTTCTGCTGCTGTTGCTGCTGTTGTTGCTGCTGCTGTTGCAGCTGTTGCTGCTGCTGCTGCTGCTGCAGCTGACATGAGACCGCTGCCGCCTCGGTGGGAGTTGAGCAGGGTTTATTGATCTGCAAACCCTAAACCCTAAACCCTAAACCCTAAACCCTAAACACTCATAAAAATAAAAAAAGCAAGATAAGGGCTTCATGGTATGAAGAGTTGCAACCCCATACTGGTGTAGCACACTAAACCCTAAACCCTCGAAACCCTCTAAACCCTCCTAAACCCTCCTAAACCCTAAACCCTAAACCCCCAACAGGTCAGTCAGTATCTATAAACAATTAAAATAAATTATTTTTTTTTTTATTTATTAATTAAATAATTAATTAAAAATGAGGAAAGCAACAACATCTTCTTCTTTCTTGTATACCTGGGCCTCCCCAACATTCATACATGCAGCCCTAAACCCTAAACCCTAGCCGCCTTATATATATATATATATATATATATATATA